CCAGGATGTTGTCCAGTGTTTCCACGTACCACGAGCCACTCGATTTATCTCTCCAGGAGACAAAGCCTTAGGAGAGAGGCCAAGAAAGTCATTTCTGAAGTTAGTCTTGTGTTCTCACCTCACTAACGAAACTCCCTAGAGTGCTCCCTACAGACAGAGACAGCCTCATCACTCCTGAACAGAGCATGGCTTTTTCTACTCAGTTACTGAATCACCTAAAACAAGTCAAAAGTTTTCTAAAGCCTCAGTTGCTTCTATCTGTAGAAAAAGGTTAAAAACCCACTTGTCTTTGCACAAGAGGGTCCTTCCTGTTAACAAGGGACTTCCAAACGCCCAGTTCAGCATTTGGAACATCTCTGTCTTTGCAGTATGACTAACAGCAACACGTAAATCCCAATCCAGTTGCTTGGCAGCAGCTTTCTCCTGCAGATCAGCAGGTTACTGACCTCTCGACTTGCATTTCACAGGAGAGGTGGGAAAAACTATGGCACAGCAAGGTAGACCTCACCTTATCCAATGCACGCGGTGCAGAACTAGGGAGACAGCCCAAGCCTAGACCCAATTCTAGCCCAATTTGTTGTTTATAGCACAAATCACTCTTTAGCTGGCAAGCAATCCACATGGGATACCTCACCTGGAAAAGTTGAGTAGGACACCAAGATGTCACTTGGTGTGGGCAAACTGGCTACGGCGTCCAGCTCGTCTGAAGCGCCCGACGGAGCTTGAAAAGGGGTTGCATCCGACTCTGCAGAAAATCTATGAGCTTCCTCTACAGGTGAATCAGATTCCACTTCAAAGCCTTGATCCTTTTGCTCTGCAAAAAGGAAGATCCCACAAATTTTAAAAGAAATATTCAACAGTCGTTAAAAAATGGAAAATCCTGCAAATGAAGCACTATTCTTTTCTGCTTTTTTGCTGTGCTGGTTGAGTCAGAGTCACTGAGCAGCCCAGTACGCATATGAATGCTGTTGATCCATTCTTCTTAATTAACCTCACAGACTAAATACCTTCAACAGACAATTAGCAGCTGCTGCTCCTGCCCCACATCCCCTGCAACACAACTGAATTGTCTGAGCATCAGACCATCAGCATCATCATTCCACGAGCTTCTCATGCCCTGGATTTTAGACTCAAGTTGTGTTGGAAATAACAATACGTGGCCAAGAAGAGAAAACAGCTGGAGGAAAAAGACAACAGCAGAAGAACAACCTGCCACGGCCTAACTAAATCTCAACAACCTGCTTAAACCTACGTGGTTACACCACTGCTTCCAGTGACAGCTTTAGCATTGCCCAAGCTAAAAGATTCACCTCCACCACAGGCCTGGATGAAGAAGAGTTTGGGTTTTCCTCTCAAACTCGGGCAATTGGACCCATTGAAATAGTTCACGATCTTTTCAACTGGAATGGCCTTTCCATCTGTTCCGTAAATCCCTCCAGGAAACTGAATATGACTCGTCTGAAAGAGGAAAATCCAATACTAATTAATACAACAGGACAGGGGAGCAACAGGACTGAGAATCACTTTCTGATTGACTGCTTTCTCCTCCATCTTTTTCACACAATTGCCAGAATAAATCCTAATCCATGTGAATTTGGGGGCTAAATCAAGGCAAAAGGATGCCCTGGAGACATTTAAAATGTATGAAATCCCAGAAATCCAAGTTCCCATGTTGTCAAATTCCCATTTCACCTCCTCCCAGAAACTGCCTTCCTTCTCCTTGTACCACAAGACCTCCAGCTTATGTTCAGTTGCTGCCAACTCCCTCGTGTTACAATCAGGAGGGTCAGAGTTTGGGAAACAGGAGGGTCTTGGTGACTACGCCACAAGGACTAGCACGAGCCCCTGTTCTGGTGTCACCGGGTTCCGCGTTATCCCAGATAATCCTGGTGGGATTTCGTCTCCACGCCGAGCCCACCTGACATCCGTGGGAAAGGATCACCACGAGGCAGCAGTCCCGGGCGCTGTGGTCCAACCGCGCCAGCTTCTGCAGCTCCCGGACCATTTCCTGCAGGCAAAACATCCCAGGATGAGTGTGCACAGGGTGCATCCGCAGAAGTCACTTTTGTCTCCACATTCTGGAGCCGTAAAGGGCCCTTCACTCCTCCTGCCTGCCTGCATCTGCCCCGCTCACCCCACCTTTTAGGCCAACAACTATTCAAATCAATACCGTGACAGGCAACAGGTTGTTGATGCTGCCACTTGCCCAGCAGAAGCAGGATAACAGACCTCCAAATATGGGGCAGCAAAACACACCCTCAGAGACTAAAGTTTTTGAGCGATTCTGCTGTCATTTAGCATCAGTCACTTTTACCAGAACAGATTTCCTTAATCATTGCATTCTTCATAACACCGCGACCCACTCACATAATGGATTTGTACGTGACTTATTGATGGAAACGTGCAGCTTCTGATTAAGGGGGTGGGTGCAAATGACTTGGTTTTAGTTTCAGTGGCTGCTCCAGGTGACTAACTCCCCTGCTTCAGTTCAAGTAACAGGTGAGTCACGTTCAGATAAATCAAACCCTTGGCTACACTTGGAACAGAGGCTGTGTCAGAGCAACTAAATAAATACAGCCTCACATACTTCCTCCTGAGGAATCAAAACTCAGCTAGAATGGTGAAAACCTGCAGGGCAATTGCAGCATGGACAGGACATGAGAGCTGGATTATTTCTTTGTGTGCTGCAGGTTGGGCTTTCTGATGTGCTGATGTACATATTAACGCTGTTAATTAAATTAATATGTTAATATGTATTAACATGTTCTCATCGCTCTCAAATCGTCATCCTCCAACCTTCACCTGAGCTACGAGATCCTGCCGGGTCACGACGTCGAAGTGCAACGACTTGAAGCGCTTCTCCAGCTTCTCACAGTCCACGTTGGAGCCGGCTCGAGTCGAAAGCGCCGAGTCTTGGCTGAAGTTGACGTTGTTGAGGATCAGGCAGTATCCACACGGATCCGCTTTCAGATCATAAACCTGGCACAGAGAAGCCCACAGAAGGGCTCTGAGCAGCGGCTCCATCAAACACCCTCTTATTCAGAACATTTCTGGGACAATCCAGGCAAGACAAAAATCAAAGTCCTTACAGCAGCTCCCTCCTTTCACAGCCTTTTCACTTCCCCAAGCCTAGTGACAGGTAGTGGGATCTGCTCTCCATACATAAACCAAGCAAGCATCCTCACACGCAAGAGGGGGACGTGCACATCCATTCCCACTTTTCTTATCTATGTTTTTCAGTGCTGCAATTATCGAGGCAAAATACCCCTTTCCTGACAGGATGCAGGTTGTTGTATCAGGCAATAGCTGCTTGTCTTACTAGAAACTGCCCAAGAGAATATTTAGCTCTGTGTTGGGTTACTTGGACTGCAGCTGCTCTAAAGCTCAGGAGGAGAGAGCTTAACGATAGACCTCCTCCAAGAATTGCCCCTATTAAAACAGCATCAGGCGCTTGTTTCGATAAGTGGAAGGAAGAACTGCTTGTGCAGGGCTGCGCAGGGCAGGAATCCTCTGTAACACAGGAATGAGCCCAAAGCCGCATCCTGGTCTGCAAGCACAGCCCTCGTCCTGCATCACCCGGAGCCAAAAATTAACGTTCATACATGAAAGATTAAAACTAAAGAAGATCCACTCCCAAAAAAATACACCAGGTGACTAACCAGACCAGCATTCCTCTCCATGCGGTCAATAGCTGAACCTACGACACGTTGAAGAGAAATGATTATTTTGCTTGCCACACTCGGTAACGGGGTGTTCTCCTGTCCCACCTGAACGCCAGCCCTGCGCTGCTGTCCGTGACCCGGCCACCACACGCACAGATTCGCTCTTCCTTGCCATAGCTGGAAGGGAGGATTTGGGCGACCCGTCTCGCTGCCCCGACA